AGTGTTTCAAAATTATATTTAACATAAAGAGAAGAAACAGTTTATTGCTCATTTTCTGCCTTATTGTGTAATATAGACAGGAAGTGACGTCGCGCTGTTTTGAACGCTGTGGGCTAACATCAGCAGGAACCTGCAGCCTCCTCCTGAGACTGAGCTGCTTCACCTCCGCTGCTGCACCACCGCTTCTTCTGGGGAAACTCTGAGCTTCATGTCTCCATAACTTCTGCTCAGTGAGTTTCACTGCATCACCACTTGCTCCTGTGTGAACAGCCGAGGTGCGTTTAGCTCTAAGCGTTAGCCGTGAGCTAGCTTACACTAACCACTTAGCCAGCGCTAGTCCGTTAACAGTCCACCGCTATCTCCCTCTGAGAATACGAACATGAAGGTGAACGCTTTGCATTAATGGACGATGGAAATGTTTCAAAAATGCATTTGAGGGGAAGCTGGATACACAAGGTGGATAGTAGCGTACGATACTAGCTTCACCGGGGCGTTATTAATGAGCCATTAGCTAAACCATTAGCTAATAACAAACATCTGAGTAGCTGTTATGCTAACACCGAGCATCAAAAACAACGTAACGAGGTTAGAATGTTACTCTACACGTGTGAGATGCAAATAACAGTTTGTATACAGTTAGTACTTCTGTGCACGTTGTGCTTAGCTCTGTGAGTTGTGTGTAAGCTTCGTCAATAAGTTCGTTTAGCAAATTCTCAAAGTAGCTTCTTCAATGTTACTTCGAGCATTACTTAGACGTGTGGTGACTTCTGTTGAAATAATATTAAATGTACCAACGATGGTGTTAGTGCCGCAGAGTTAACGCATCCTGCATCTGTGACATAAGTTACAATGCTGCAGCGTCAGAGAAGCTTTCACAACCAAGCTTTCATAAGCCTGAGCCGGTGCTGGACCATATTTGGTGGCTGGAGGACAGCTGCTGTGTTATTTAAGGTTTGCAGCCACTGTTGCTCATTATAACATCCTCTGCTCTGCTCTATCCCCAGCTCTTCATCCACTGCACAGCAGGAGAACACCATGGACCTCCACAAGATCATCCACAGCGCCATGCACGAATTCATTCAGACTTACATCCCCGATGCAGATCTCAGGTAAGCAGTTCACCATCTTTTTTCACTGTTGTTTATTTTATCCTGAGAAGAGGAATGAAGTTCAGTTAGTTTAACAGTTGCTTAGAAACGGTTGTATGTACTCCCTTCTTTGTACAGCAAGCATGACATGAATATTAAAAGATGGATTACACTGCAGAAATCTACAGGTTTTTGTTTACAGCACGTTCGTACGGAAGCTACTGAATCTTATTGTCTGTCCAAGCTGACATCTTCATCAGAGTCTTCTTATTATGTGGCACCTCCTTGATAAGATTTATATTCTTAATTTTAATTTATATTCTTTCCAGTGTCAAGTCTGTCATGTCTTAGAAACATCATCAACAAGCAAACTCACTTGCTGTGAATTATATCATTTGCATATTTTTGAGAACGTTTACTTGGGGGGGCTGAAGGGTAATGTCTGGAGCAACTGACTCAGACATTTGTGTTTTCACATACATCTCTGGAAAGTTTCAGTAAAACATCCAGACTTCAGCACATCTCTGAAAACAGCAATTGTTTTACCTTCATCGCAGCACCCTGGATGATGTTCTGTTGTCATACATCACTGGAGTCCTGGAGGATCTCGGTTCCCAGCAGAGCGTGGAGGAGAACTTTGACGTGGAGGTCTTTGCAGAGATGTTAGAAGCTTACATACCTGGTTTTGCTGAAATTGACAGGTAAACAGACAGCTAAACCTTTTTTATCTGCTCTGAAATTTGTTAGAGTTAAAAATGACCGAACAACATTACTTGCTCATTTGTTGTCATTACAATTTTTGTTTTTATTTTGCAGTGTAAAAGTCTGTGAAATGATGTTCAACCTGGCTTCAAAACTAGCCTCTGCTCGGACCTCAGGTACTGCATTTGTTTTTGTTCCCTGATACAAGATCTTACACTTTCCAAATGGTTTCCTCATATTCACAACACTGGTCTCTCTCTGTCTATTCACTGCCCTGCCCTTTATCATACACTGGAATTCCTTTTTCTTCACATGAAGTCAAAATCAATGTGTGGGAAAAAAACTGTAACTCCTCAATCAGACAAGTTGTTTTTGAGAAAATAAGAAAACAAAGGAACAGAGATTTGTTCATTTATCGTTGGTTTGTCAAATGTCATCAAAACAAACCAACATTGCTGAGCACTCCATTTCAATGATAACATTAGCATAGAATTTATTTATTCTAACTATTTTTTTTGCCTTTTTAGCTGATGAAGACAACGGTGTGCCTAAACCAAGGACAGATGATATTTCATTGAAACTCATTACCCTGCCCAATGAACCTCCACCAGGTAGAGAGGCACAGTGCAGAGAAGCACCAACAGAGGGCGCCACTGCCAAGGTGATCACTTCAGCACACATGAGCACATTATTCTCCTTTTCTTGAAGCATTAGGATTTTTTTATTACTATGATTTAACTTGTAGATCATTCCTCTCCTGCTGTTGGTGTTGTTTGAATCCACTTGAAATAGAGGTACTAAAAATGAGTGTATGTCCAGGGACCAGTGTCTGAATGGGAGGCTCAGGAGCAACACCTGCTGGAGATGTTTCCCAAGTGTAGTCTGTCCGAGGCTCGTAGTGCCCTGTCCATCGCCAAAGGAGACATGGAGGAAGCTGTGCGTCTTATCATAGAGGAGGATGTCCAACTCAGCCCCACTCCTCTTAATGTGAGTCTCTGCTACACACAGAATCTCAGCCACTGTCGACCCTGTGTGTGTGTACAGTGTAATTTGAAGCTGTTCTGTTTTCTCAGGTAAATCATGGGAAAAGTATTTCTTCACTGGCGGACCATAAACTTAAAGAGAGCATCCTTGAGAAGTAAGTGAGACTGTTCTTACCCTTTGGAGAGGGGGATGTAGAGTCACTTCTTTGTTTCAGTGTTTGAGACTGTGATCAATCTCCTCAGGTACATGCATGTGGACAGAGAGGATGACAAAAAAACTCACCGGCCTGTTGCCCCCAAAGATGTAAGTCTCTGGTTCTACTCCACATTTGCCGTGTAGCTTTATCAAATGTGTTTCATACAATGAAACTTACACATTGTGCTGGGATTTCTGCAGGCTCCAAAGAAGCTAGTGCGCTACCACGGTAACCAGGTGGTCACCACAAAAGGCGAGAGGTATCAGCTTGTGAAGACAAACGAGACAGAGGACATGAAGAAGACATATGTCAACCTCAAGCCTGCACGGAAATACAGATTCCATTAATGAGCACAGCAGCGTAAGAGCAGCTACTGACAATATTGTTTACACTGTTTTTCATTTAAGTCCATTTAGCCTGAGTTGGTTTGAGTTTTCTTCCAAGTTACGGAACATGTTTGTGAGTTGGTGTCAGTGGCTTATTTTAAAAGAGTTACCATTATACGCCTTGGTTACATCATGACATTAATGTTTTTGTTCTATCCCGGTTTATTTGGTTGAGAAACATTTGAAATGTGGGATATTTTGGTGGGGATGTTGTAATTTATATTCTAGTTTCTGTAACAGCCTAATCTATCTACATTTCGCCATCTCAGCAGGTCTGATGTTGCACTGACGTTATTGTCCTTCTTTTCCAACACATAACTCTTCATTTGTATTCTTGTTTTTTATTTCTTTGATATTGTATTTTAACTTAGTACAATCTAGATTCATAACTCAAATAAATCTGTTTTCCTTTTTGTAAATACGCTCTAGTGATACTGTAAAATTTAAGAGTTAGTTACGAGTCACAGCTGTTTTTTATGTACATATTAAATCATTGATGCCAACTTTATTTCAAATTCTATTTTTACATCATAGAGGAATAGTGCTGTGAAAATGTTTGGTCGGGCCTTGTGGACAATTTGTTGTGCAACAAAATCATTTTCAGATAGAATGTATCAGGAGTCATCACCTAAGGGTTTGATATGTGGACTCCATTGGTTAAATAACATCATTTAGTTTAAATTGAGCCAATTTATCCATATAACTATGAATAATGAAGGAGGTTCTATGTTTCTGAGGCAGTGGAGAAGTCTACAGGAGGAGGATCACAGTTCTGAGTTGTTTTATCACCTACTATCAAACCACGTAGAGGAAACAAAGGAAGAGTATGTGATATGCAAAAGTTTTATACTATAAACATTAGTTTTATTATTTATCATTTCTAAAATGGGGGGGGGAAACAAAGATTTTAACATATTTGTTTGTGACACAGCTTCAGTTTCTCTTATTTTCAAACACCTTAAATTCAGTGTTACTCTCTATCAAGAAAGTCTGTTAATTCATTTTCTTGCACAACAAATTAAACCATCACAGCACTATACATTCTGGCATAATGAAGAAGACTGTGGTCGCCCCTTAAATATCAACGAAACGTGGCTGGAGGAGTTCGATTTTAAAGCTCACTCCAACAGCATTGTCTTTATTTTCGATATCGACCTTTAGATTCTCAAAATCTTATGTTATGTGTTTATCGTGAGGAGACACTGTTGTGTGATTTCAGGGTCACATGATGTTAATGAAGCCGTCTTTCATCTCATGTGTTCAGTGAATTTTGCCTCGCTTGTGAGTGTTGGTCGTGGAGTTTCTTTTTTTGATTATTATGACTGGGTCCTTATTTCTTGTTTGTTCTGTTTATATTAGAATAGATGGTTGTTCAGGTTTTTCTTTCACTCAGATATACCAGTTGTTTATTCCCCTCTGCATCTATTCAGAGGAACTATAAGCTATTGTTTTGATTGGTGGTATAATATAGTTGTCCTGAGTATAGGTGTATCACAATCAAGTGTTTAAAAAGATGTGTTGTTACTGATACTTGTCATTATCAGCAGCAATGTGGTCTTTACCAATGCTATGATGATGTTACTATAGATCATGGAGCAGGTTTACTGGAGCTGTTTGGTCACAACTGTGTTTTAACCCCTCGCTTTGAGAAACCGCTGATGCACACTTTATAGTAAATAAATACTAACTTTTGTAGACTACCATTCACGTGGTTTTCTTTGATTCATTAGGTGCTAATTCAAGAGAACCATGCTATCACCTCTGCCAATGTTTCCATGTGGGTTTGTTAGCAGGATTAAGCAAAAACAACTGGACGGACTATCACGCAACTCTGGAAGGATGCAGTGTAGGTCAGGGAGGCATGACATTTCTCATGGATCCATGATTTTCACTTCCTTTAACATTGTGGGATTTTCCACAAGAAATAATGAAATGTTTATGAAAACAATCAGACATCTGTAGAGTGTTAATATCTAGATCTGGATTTTGTGAATCAAAATATATTTTCATTTGGAGTGATCTTTATGTTTATTAACAAACATAACTTTCAGCTACAGCAGAACATATATCGTTTGCCTGTTTTTACTGTAAACAGTTTGCAGATATCTGATGCAATACATATAAATGGAATATAGTCATAAAGTGGCCAATCAGCCTTGGCGAGGTATGAGCTCTTCAGGTACCCTCCTAGTTTTATAGTATAAGACCTCCCCGCATCTTTCAGCAGTTATTAGAAACTTAGGGTCGAACTTTGCAAACAAACTTTAATCAGAGGAACAAGCTGAACACATACTGAATGTTCAAAACAGAAGGCCAGCAGCCATCAATCAAAAACATGCCACCAGCTCTATGAACTCTTGTCACTCTCACAGGTTAAAGCTGTTTAATGCCAGAGTGAAAACACTTTTGTAAAAAAAAAAAAAATTCATGTTCTTGCAGCATTTAGTGCCCTTTCCATGTCAAGCAAGGCACACATAGTAAACACAGTTAACGTAGCAACAGAAGAGATGAAACATTAGTTTCAGGTAGCGTAAAATTTTCTACATAGAAAAAAGCACTGTTGAATTATTGTGCAGTTTTTACCTGCACATTATCAGCAAGTTAATCAAAACAAAACCATTGAAAACCTGTGTATTGCTGTTGATTTAAGTGCTCGGATGTTATTATTTTTAATGCATCACTTGCTGATTCATACAATGTCACAGGAAAATAATGATATACTGGATTATGTTGGTTTGCTGCATACAGCACGGTGTATGAAATGATCTTTCCCTTTCATTTAATGTACATTTTCACAACAGCTTTAGAGAAAGCAAACACATTTTAAGATGCACTCAAGACTCCTTAGGTGAAAATACGGCTGCGGGAAAGTGAAGACGAGTTCATTTCTGAGGATCTAAAGTGATTATTGGAGCATGTGCAGGTTTTCATCTGCAGTTCATCTTTCATACACATTACAGTGTCATTTAATCCCAGATCTGCTGCATTTAATGCAACACACTGAATATGTATTGTAGAAGTATAGTGCATGGGCCAGACACATCAAGCTGAACATGCAACTGCAAACGTGAACACTAGATGGCGCTTTTATGTTGCATTGCAATGGCTGAATAAGAGCGAGATTCCAGCAGATGGCCCTGCTAGTTCAGACAGTGAATAACATTTTAACACAAACCATCATTTAAGCAGTTTTACAATCAGAACAGTTCAAGAAAACATCACCTGTAGTTACCTGAAGTTTCCCAAAAAAACAGTAAGTTGTATTTTTTAAAGTCTTAAATTTGACATTTGCAACTAAAATTGCAGATTGTACTTCATTTATCTTCGGTGTCCCCAGACCTATTACTGGTCTGTGGGAAAACATGTCCAAAAAGTCCTTGAAATATAAAAGAAGCAAGAGCATAAATAAAGCACAAAGCAAACACTGGGCTAAAATCATTCAGCAGCATCAGCCATCATTCCTTCAGCTCGATATATAAACCCTCTTTTTGAACTCCCAACACGTTTTTGATCATATTCCATTACTATGTTTTATCACTGTGTCTTTTCTGTCTTTGCAGCAGAAAGTCTTCACTGATCACTCACAGAAACCATGTTGTTAAAATGCAGATCAAACTAATAAATAAGGACCTGTTGTGAATCAGTTGTGAAGCAGAGTTTGTGATAAAGACGGAGAATATAATTACGGCCATTCCACATTGACTAATCAAGCCACGACTGTTTTTTTTTTTTGCTTGTGTATAGCAATGTCCTGCATTAACTGATGTCTACTGAGTTTATAATTTATCCATTAGTGGTCAAAATGTTGAGGTTGCTCAAAAGGTACCGATTCCTTTTACTGTCTGAGCAAATACACCAATAACACCCATTAGCCTGAATCATGAGTGTTGACAGAAATCTGAATCACAGAAAAACAATCTCGACTTGAGGCCAAAGGTAAAATTAAAAAAAGACCTCTTCAAGTAGGCGCCAATTCTTACGAGTTAGGCAGGAGTTTCTTCTGTAATCATCGTATTCGCGATGACAATGGCACTCGGAGATGACTCAAGCGGAATGGTTCTCAAGATGGCCGCTTATTGCCATGCAGTGACGCGTAGCTCCACAGTCAGGATGCGCATGACACACGCAGCAGTCTCACTTTCACACATTTCCGAAGGACTGAAGTTAACAGTTTCAAGGGTGCGGGGGGGGGGTCTAACTGAAATCCTGGTCGTATCGCCCCTTGATCATGGTTTTCAGTAAGGGTCCAACCTGCAGAGACACAGAGTTCTTGGTTAGTTATTACTTTATAGAGACAGATCACGTCGTTGTATTCATTGTCCCACACTGCATATATATCGTTCCTTTCTACTAAAATCAGGTAAGCCATAAATATTCACAGTAATTGGGTTACAGGGAGGGTCAGCACACCCCAGGGATGTCATCCAGCAGGTGACCTAGATGCAGATCTGATTTGATGTTCTAGAAACTGGCAGTGTGACATTCATGTGCGACTTATATAATCAGTACACTGATGAGGAAAGAGACTTTTTAAAGACAGGATATAAAGTGTTTTTACTTCATGTGGGTTTCCAAGAGCTTCTCCCAGCATCTTCTCGATGTTTCTCATGATGGCCACCTTCTGATGAGCCCTCAGTGGGTACTCTATCCTCTTGGGGGTGGGGGCACCCTGAGCAAATAAGTCAATCGGGTAAGTGTCATGAACAAAATAAAAACATAATCAAATTTAAAGTAAACGGAGTCCAAGTGATTTACTTTGTACCAGAAGTTTACAGTGATCGTCACTCCACCGTTCAGCAATGATTCAATGTGATGCCACCTGAAGAAAATAAGAACAAATTAAATAAACTTCACATTTTCAGCTTGTCAATTTTTCTGTAACCTACACAATACAAATAAAACATTTAATATGAATGCAACCACAAAACTGTGATGCACGAACAGTCTTCAAAGTTAAATTACAAATCAGAAGTTGCAGGAAAATGCTGTTTTCCTTTTGCTCTTGGTTTCCCAATCTAAAATGGGTTTGTTGTTTTTTAAGCCAATGTATTTTATTCTAAATATTAAAAGAAATCACGGAAGACTAATCTGCTAACTGAGCTGTTACATGTCACACTGGAATCAGAGCGCACGAAAGCACATCAGCTGACAGTGTATCCAAGAAATTCAATTATCAGCTGATTTAGTTCACGTTGAAGCAAATCATTTCTATACACGAGCCTTGTGGATGTGTTTCTTACCAGTACATGGGAATGTAGAGCACATCTCCTGGGCCTACGACAGCCTCATAGCCAACAACATCTTTAAAACTGGGGAACCGCTCATTATCAGGGTTATCAAAATCCACCTGGAAATGAAAAACACATTCATTACAAAAATGAAACACACAAAAAAAGATGAACACACAATGGTTTGATTCATTTCTTCTTCTAAATCGCTAACATGCAGTTTACGTTATGGGTGGATTTGTACTTGTTTTTATCTTACTTGGCTCTGTCTGTCACATGGGTGGTGCACAGGATACGGATAGAGACACTCAAACTGGTCTGGGGGGAAGAGGATGCATCTCTTATGTCCTTTAATTTGTGCAAAGAAGTTCTGCTGCTCGTCGTAATGTGCTGGTGTCACATTCCCTGTGGTGAGAGAATATTCATAGGATAAGTAGTTTTACTACATTCCTCGTGCAGTGACTGACTCCTGTCAAACTTTTTTATAAACAGTCCATGGTCAGACCTCTTACCCTCCATGCCTATGAGCAGCAGGTTGGATGTCAGCTGTCCCCAGCTTCTCTTGGCTTGCTGCTTGTTGATCCAGTTCCAGTTGAAACCGAGGAAGTCAACAACTATCTTCTTCCCTACTGTGTCATTCAAGGTCTGCTGCAGGTATACTCTAGAGAAGCACAAGACAGAATGTGTAAGGCATTTTTGTTTATAGATATATAGATGTTTCTGCAGGACATAAGTTTGTTTGCAAAGTATCACCAGGTGAATTAAAGAAAATTTGAATGGCACACAGTAAAGACTTTAAAAAACATTTAAATTCACATGATCCTCCAAATTGTGAGCCACATTCCACACACTCATGAATATCAGTCCCTTATTTCTGATTGTTTTCATCCATGAATTATTCTCTGAGAAATAAATAAACTGTTAAAAATGACCCCTTATCTCAAAATGTAGAAAGTGAAAATCAAAATCTCCTTGATCTGCCACTTGATCCAGATCTGCACCAAAATAGAATGGGTTCTTCCCTCACCCATATTGCATCCTTCCACTAAATTATGTTGCAATCCATCCAGCAGTTTTTGTGTAATCAAACAGACAGGGGTGAAAACATAATGGAAAGAAAAGTTCCACTGTGATTGTTTCAACAAGTCAAACAGCGAGTTCTCATAATCAAGGGATTTGTTTTACGTGCAAAATGAACAGGACTTGTCTGAAAAACATCTTCAAGGACCTCAGGAGAGTCCAGTTGCCTTCGTGCTGCACTTACAAATACCGTGGCCTGGGAGCCTGGGAGGCATTCCAGACATTTAGTAAGTGATCTGTGTCTGAGTGGCCAAGTCAGGTCACAGGAAGCAGCTCCTGCCCCGACTCTCCTGAGTAAATGCTTAGTCATTTGCACCACTTTCCTGAGCTGCGTTACATTTCAAGAGAGAAAACACCCTTCGCTGTCAGACACACCTGCAGCAACATCACATCCTGGTGCTCAGGTCTTATCTCTGTTTAATACAACAGTGCAGAACTAACAACTGAAATATCCTTTTTACAATGAACCCTTACCTCTCCTCTCCTCCCATTTCCTCCGTTTTGTGCATTTTATCCACAAACTCGGAGAATTTCATCTCCAGCCGCTGTGACTTGGGGACAAAGTTCTCATAGTTGGCCATTTTCTTCTCATCGTAGTAAAGGAATTTGTATTTTTCAGCGATGTAAACAGAGAAGTCTCCATTTCCAATGTTCTCCTGCAGGTATGCAATGTCCCATTTGAGCGCTGGATACACAAGGTTTGTGTCAGTTAAAACCACCGGTTCCTGGAAATGGACAAAGGGCATTTTATAACAAACAGTCATACTACAAAACAATATATTTACTGGCCCATATGCACTTAATAATGTTTTAAACTAATGATGGACTGAGGATGTTCATACTGTGTCATGATTATAGAACTGCCTACATCGCATTGTATAATATTATTGTATTTTCTTATCCTTTTCAACTACGGAGGATCAAGAAAGGTATATCTTATCTTCTGGGGTATTTTGGCATAAAACTGCAATTTATGGTTGTACTTTAACACATAATGCTCGGTTTCAGTAAATGGGTGCACAAGAATTTAAACTGCACATAAGTACCGTTTGTGATGGTTAGATCTTGATGCATCACAGTTTTCAAACTAAATGTCCACAGGACTGACTTCTTTATGTTTCACAAAGAAAGAGGAACGTGACCAACAGACGTGAACGCAGCACATCCTCACCGCCAACAGTGCGTGGCACGCGGATGTGCGTGAGAGGGCTACGTGACTAACAGAACGTAGAGCAGTGAGCGCGCTCCCGCTGCGCGCCCGCCGCGTGCCCGCCGCTCACTACTCCAGGTTTCACTTTCGCCGGAGCACGCGAGGAGTGTATGCAGGTGGGCGCGCGCGCGCGTGTGTGTGTGTGTGTGTGCGGAACCTTGGAGTTCAGATGATGAAGGAAACCCAGGTTTAATAACTTCACTGAGGTGACACGCAGCGACTGTGGCTCCACCTCCAGGTCCCTGTTTACTCTGTTTACTCTGTTTACGTCTTTGTCTCTGTGTTGAATGTTAAATCATCGTTGTGTCCTGTGTGTCTTAACATATGTATTTTCTTTAACATGGACTCAACATCTTTTTATTTGTATCTATATTATATGTAAAGCACTCTGAGCTGTAACAAACAGACAAATACAACAAATACAGTTTATTATTATTATTATTATCATCACTCTTCACCCCAGGCTTCAATTTGAACAGGGATTGTTTTAAACAGGTAACTAACACAGTGACAGTGTATGACCAAACCTGTCCTACAAACATAACAATCCATTTTTGATCCATTTTAAAGTCTATATGTGGAACCACTGTGGTGACTATAAGAATCTTCTGCCCTTAATAATTATTCATATTTGCATATTCCAGCTCTGAAGCAAACTACTCAAGCATTGAAAATTGTATAATTCACATTTCACTGCAAACAAAATTCTAATTCTATAAGCGACACAAGCTCATGTTGCGAGGAAGCAGCTGCAGTTCAAATATGTGAAAATGTTTTTCACTCCTCTTCAGCCTCATCAGGATTAGTTTACAAGATGGTTGTGCTGCTGCTCTCGTAAAACATTTCTCGTGAGCTGAAGTGTGTCATTCGTTAAAGTGCAACAGCATTATTAAATTAAAGTGGAGCGATATGTCTGTGTACACTAACAATGACTAGATAGAGCAGAAAGGGATTGTTTCTACTCATACAGAATGGAATTTGCTATGTTAACATCTCTTTTGTCTTGAGTGAGTCACACTTCACTACAACCTGATCTCTGTGAAGATAAACAGATTTATCTTGTATTCTTCTGGGCTTTTATACTGTTTATATACCTTTTAATGTTTTATGTGTTTAACATTTTATATTCTTCTGATCTGTACTTTAATGCTTCTGTTATTTCTGTAAAGCACATTGAAGGACCTTTGTGTACCAGTAAAACTAGTATTTTATCAGTCAGAACATCAACACAGCTCCATAAAGGGTTGTTTCTTTATTCAACCTGTTATATCTAAACTTCGAGTCACATGGAAAACTATCCAAAAATAGACATAATGAACACAATATAAAATTTGCTGTCAGACAAATTAACTTTTTTTCCCAGCAGAATAATAATAACAATATTTATTTATCTTGTATTTATATAGCGCCTGTCAAGACACCCAAGGTTTATATGTGTCAGTGGGGACAAAAAAATGAAAAGAAATGAATAATTCATGTCTGTGAGAAATATGAGGGTGTGGTTCCATGGGTGTTGTTTCTTCAGAATGAGACACAATAACAAATTACTATTTACAGTGTCATTCATTTCTACAGAAACCACGTGTATGATTACTCATAATGGACACATCTCGATATTGACTCCTCATTGATCACGATGTCTGTTGGTTTGTGATCTCAGTGGTGAAAACAAAAGTACTTAAGTGACCTTTCAGAGCAGACAGCTCTTATTGGACTCCAAGCTGCTTGCTTTAATTTGCTAACATCAGGTGCAATAAAAATACTTGAGGTCTTTTACTCCCTCAGGTGTTGGCTTGTTCGATTTGACCTGTGACTATGGCTGATACTGTCCCACCTTTTTCTTCTCAAGTCTGATTATTTATTTCTCTACTAATATCTGATCCTAACAGTGACAGCATTTACCTGTGTTCTCGTGCTCATGAATATAGGTGTATACATGCTGTAGAATTATTATTCTGTTAATGGTTTTATTGACTGCTGATTGTCAAGCAAACAAGTTGATCCAGGACACTGTTTATTTTCTAAACTCACCAGTGGCGCTATAGTCTATTGAAGTGCAACAGGTAGATAACTCTCCTGGGAGAGGCTCCAGCTGCCAGACGCTGAATAAGACTGAATGAGGTTTATGTCCCTGAGTGAATCAAATTAACGTCATGCGTCCGTTCCTCTTTTGTCAAAGGCGCTTTTTAACCAACCTTTGCGCAACATATTAGTCATTAGAGTAATACTATCCTCAGGAGGTTGTTGTCTCTACTCCAGCACTTGCACATTAAAATCACTGAGTCTGCATTGCTGTTTCCCCCTAAAGGTGAGACGGGGGAATGAGGCAAATCCACATCAGATCACAAACAGCAGAAAACCTGCTGCTGACTGGGTTCTGTTCATTCCAGCTGTGCTGTGATTCTGTCAACAGATGTTTTCTAACCACATGTCGAAGTCACCTCAAACTACCTGAAGCAATGAAACCGACTGTATTAACCTTTTATGGCTGGAATCCCGATGGGCTTTGTAGTTTTATTTTGCTGTCATTCCCAAAACTACAATAATGTGTTTTTTGGGTTATTTGTAAAGTCAAAAAGTCAAATGTCAAAAAGTCAAAATACTGCTTACATGTTCTTAAAGTGTAAGAATGTGGTGCTTTTTTTTTTTGTAAAAGGCGGTTTTACAAATCAGAAATTGAAAATCTGAGTAAAATGACTTTTCAGGACATTTTCTTGGGCGCCAGCAAATACTGATGAACAAATCTCAAGGAATAATCGATTAATCGAGATAATAGTAGTTAGCTGCAGCCTTAATAAAAGTTCGCTTCACCTTAGGTGTTGTCACTACTCTGACTTTCAATTTCACAATCAAGTTTACTCTCATACCAACAACGATGAGTGTGTTTTAATCGTTGTCACGCTTTCAGAGCGCTGGTTCGTTCAGATGGTTCATTAACAGAACATGTCTGACATCCTTCATCTGACAGGTAGATTGTGGAGAGATGAGGTTTCTGTCTCATCGGCTTTACCTCGTTGTCGATGAGCTGCTCAGCCCGCGGGTCCGTGTGGGACAGTCTGGGAATGGCTCTGGTGGTAAACGGGTATTTTCGGAGCTGAGACTCGTCCCAGTCTCGGCTCTGGACGCCGGGGAAAGCCGCGGCGCCGCCTTCGCTCGCCGCCGGATCGGGCTCTACCACGGTCGCTGCTGCCATGGCCGTCGAGCTGCGCCGCTCAGCTGCCTCCGTCCTCAGTGCTGTGAACCCACGAACGCCGGCTCCTATTCCGGACTCTTCCCCGGACCAGGCCACGGACTCAGAATCCCGCAGGTTTTCCCATTCACGGTTATCACGTTAGCGGAGGGAGTGTGCGCGGTCCCGCCGCCTGAAGGTGGAGGTGTTTACACACCGTGTTGACAGCAGACAAACAACGAGAGCGAGCCAGAGTCAGGACAACACCTCCATCTGTCCGGGGTCAGAGCTTCACACAGCGACACCTACTGCACCGGCTGACTGCGTGCATGCTGCTGCTGTAGTAATATGACTCCACCGCTAGAGGGGGCAGTGGTAGAACAGTAGAGTCAAACAGGCAGAGATACATAGCGAAGTAGTGAAAATAATAAATAATAAAAGTTCGTTGTTACGGCCACAACAACAAACACTGTTTTGTCTCAACCCAGCGACCGCGACATGAAACAGAACACCAGCCACAGCCCTGACCGAACAAAGAGTTTAACTGATGAACACTGAGAGAAGAAAGTTTGTTGGACCGACTCAAAGAAATACTTCAATTGTAAAAACTCGAATGAAGTTTGCATCAGTTTGTATGGACACAGCGGATGACTTTAATATGAACAAACTTATTTCGTTTGAGTGTTGAAGTATATTTAATATGTAAATAACTTTCTTTTCCAGTGTACTTTATTAAAGTGAGTCTATAGTAAAAAGAAGAAAAAGAAAACCTCCTGTTGTAGCAATAGGACTCCACAGCTAGAGGGAACAATTGTAGTTTAGTTTTTCAGAAACTTCATGTCAAACAGGCAGAGATACATTTTGTAGTGAAAATCATGTAATTTTTTAAAAAGTACCTTGACAAACACTGAAAAGAAAAAGTTGTCGGTCCAACTTGAAAAAAATACTTCACCTATAACACTCAAATTAATTAGAACAGCTGATGACTTTAATATCGATGTACTTAATTCATTTGAGGTTTAAAGTATTACAGTGTGAATTTTATTCGGGGAACAATTTTCTTTTCCAGTGGACTTTATTCTACAGTAACAAAAAACTCTCTAAATATTTGTTTTGATTTGGCTGCATCATCAGGAGAATGTGGACATTTGAATAGAAAAATATTTATACCACCTTAAAATGATGATATCAGCATTTCTGCATCACCATAATATAACAACAAATATTAGCATAGCACTCCCGGACCGTGTCATTCTCCATAATAAGTACTTTTACTTTTGAAATGAATTAGATTGGACAACATACCCACAAAGGTCCCGGTTGGACTCAAACACACAACACTCCAGTTCATTATTTAGCTTTGACTTGATAAGACAACCCTGATGACATCTTTAAAATTGCAGTTTTTGTTTAATCTACAGATCAAAGTTAATAGCAGGGAAATACTTATGCCAAATATATGTGTTTTAGAGGCAGAATAGTATATATTTGACTGTGGACTAGGGATCTCAAAATCACATTAAACATGTGAAACTATAAAGAAAATGTAATGAAATTAAATGCATGAGAGAATAAAAGACCAAGACCTTTAAGAAATAAGTATGAAAACACAGAAACGTTAATTGCAGTAGAGACCACATGGAAACAGTAAAAAGACGTAATCTCATCAGAAAACATATTAAAATCTTGTCGATCAGTTTAGTTTTGAGGCACTTGCACTTAAAACTTTTCCATTTTTTACTTATACTGCTTTACTTATATTGTATATTTTATGCATATCATCAAACATCTATCTAATCCCCATAGTGACAGATTATTTTTCACAGCATATAATATATGATGAATGGTTATAGATGAAACTATACAAATGGATGTAAAGGGGTAAAAAAAAAATCATACTTAACCATCTTTAACGACTGAATCACTGCTCAATGCATCAAGTGATCCAGTGACAGGTCGTAATGACACGTGCAGGGTTGATGCTGTTGTTCCCGCTCTCTTTGTCTTTCTGTTCACTGAGACTGAGCAAACACTTTTGAAACACTGATCCAATATTTACCTGTGGCAATCATAGCCTCAGCATTACCCCATTGATCACTGGCTGATCATTCTTCACGAGATAGCAGTGCACACTGTACCTTGCACAGTGGACTGACCAGTTTAAACTGGCTCGTTCAGTTCAGTCAGTATCACACGGGTATTGAACTCACTGGAGTTCAAGTTATCAATCACTTTGACCCATCATCGTTTGATTGATTCATCAGTTCTGGTTTTTCACCTCTTGATGAAAGTTTCAGGCTGAATTGTTGCTCAACACTACAAATACATTTCCTATTTTACTTCTTAAACCTAGAGCTACATGTTTTCTCCTGAGTCATGCTTTATCAGCAGGTTTCCACCTCAGGGACTTGTCCAGGCCCCCTGGGGAGTTCCCATGCTCCTTGTTTCCTGTATAGATCAGTGGGTTGAGCTGAGCTGATCCCTGTGATGCTCCGCTCCTCCCCATTCTTTGCAGATACCAGGAGATTGACCACCCTGTTGAGCCCCAAGAAGTCTGTATCTCCATCCTGCTGATAGCGGCTAACTCATTCACCACTGCTGCCTTCTCCCCTGCAGATGGACTGCTGTCAAAACAAAGACTCTGGTGTTACACTGAAAGTTTCCTTGTGAGTGGAACATCCAGGTTATCGAGCCTACAGCTGATGGAATAAATCCACATGTAATTGCACAGGTTACGACAGATTTCCCAGAGTTTTGTCGACCACTTTAAGAGCATCTACACTCATCTGTATCGGCTTTCTCTCACATTCATGCTGACCCTCGCCCCTGTAGGTGTTGTAGGTCCAGAACCCCTAAGCCTTAAATCCTATTAGTCAAGGATTCTCTGAAGCATTATAAGTCGTTTTCCCATCTTTCAGTGATTGCACTATCACTCAGTACCTGAAAGAAATCAGCCTCCTTTGTGTGATTTATTTCTCCACATTAATTATACGTCAGAGCTGCAGGTTAAAAAATGTAATTTAAACAAAAATGTTAAATTTCACCAAAATCCAAAACTTAAAACATTTTTTTTAAGCAACAGTATAATAAACAACATGTACATGTTTTGTCAGTAATCTCTTTGTTTCTCAGTTCAAATGAATTCATTGCGTTGTGGGAGAAACCATCTGCTCGAGCCCCAGATCTTCCTCTGAGGTGTCGCCTCTCTCACCGTCACCTTGGGCTCATGTGTGCCTGCAAATAGGACGTGGCAGGGCCGGGCCGAGAGACGGAAGTTCAAACCCCTCGGTCAGAGGTCGTGTCACCCTCTTGGGTTGAGGGGAGAATTGTGTGTCTGAGTCATGATCATAGTTATGTGCTGTTTCACACACCTTTATAACCATTCAGTTCAGCTGGGGGTGCGTTCGGGGGAGGGACACAGACAGAGACAAGTGTGAGAGAGAAAGATGCTTGTAAACCTCTGGGGTTCTGGGGCTGTCTCGTTGTTTATGTGTATTTTTAAGTTTAATGTGTGATTATGATGTGCATTTTATTAGTTAATTGCTTTTCTTTTCTTTTTTAATCCAGCTAAAGTGTCTTTGAACATTGTTAAAAGCATAAATAAAATGTATGAGTATTACTATTATTACTGTAGTCCATAAAGTTTTGTACATAAAAACATACCTTTGGTTACAGACAGTAAATCACAGTACAATGGAGTAAAGTGTCAGTGTTACAGTGGTAATCTTATCCTATGTAAACATTAACGGAACCTACAGGCAGCACCTGATGATAGGTCTCCAGGGAAAAACTCCATCTATACCTCCACCAAGGAAGTTCAGTTGTTCATTGGCGTTTGCTTGTTTGCTAGTTTGCAGGAAAATGCACAACAAAACATTTGAGGATCTGGTATGTGTGAGATCCAAGAGCCAGGAATTTCTTTCACTCTTTTTTATACATTTTCATTGATTACTCAGGGAATCATCCTTGGATCTTGATGAAAAACATACTTATGGGACTGATATTTATGAGTATGTGCATTTTGTTGCTACTTAATTGAATTTAAGGGGACTGTTGGGCCTTGGTGGAGGAACGTGCTCTTCTGAGAGCTGTTCTACTTTTCAACTGAGCTTTATCTTGACTGAGTAAACAGTCAGTGTCACAGACGTGTTAAACCGATGAATATTAAAACTGGCAAACAAGTTTTTCTGTGGAGGTTTCCCACACATGAACTGGCTGCGATGTCAGCAGACTTGCCTTTGTGTGCTTATATTTACATGTGGGTATCAGGAGGACATTTTCTGCTGAGGATGAACCTGTGTTAAAGTGTCATATATGAAGTTTAAAAGTGCTTTTGTTCATTTGAATCCATAAATGTGCTCGTACTTGTGTCAAATGTTTTACTCTTCACTTAAATAAATCTAAAGGCAATGCTGAAATGATTTCGAGGTTTTAAAATCTTTCTTGCCACTAACTACCAAGTACTAATTCAAATGTTTGTGTTGCCTTTAGAATATTATAAATGAATGAATTTTGGATTTTGATGTGCTGCTGTCTTGCTCCCTGATCACAGTAAACTGCAGAGCTTCCACAGAGCTGCGGGGTAAAAGCTTGGTATGCTGGTTCTTTTGTTGCTGAGAGGGTTTCGCTGCGTGCCAGGCAGAGCAATCCAGTCGGGCCACAGGGGTCACCAGAGGAAGGAGGAGTTTTGATTATGATCATTATTTGGTAAATAAGATGTCAACAAGGTGGTTCCTTGACACTTCATTGAGCAAAAGGAAGAAGGTGCAGAAATGAACGCCCCCTTCTCAATGGGACCACTAATCTGCTCTTTCATGTCCCGTCTCTTCTGAGGGGTCTCGGCCTCAGCTGCCATGTGCTAGTCCGCCTGGGCCTGGCACCTCTTACTCGCAGGTGGGGTGAGTATCTTGGCAAGCATGTGTTTATAAAACCCACTTGTTTGGGCACAATACTTGAACTAACTTCTTTTGAGCGAACAGTGTGAATCTGTGCAAAGCCTTTTCCCAAAGTCCTTTAGAAGGCGACGGCCCATTGAGAGTGGAGAAGAAGGGATTACCTTCCTCGACAGTGGTGCATTTCCGAGAGAGCTGATTAGCTCTGCATTCATTGTTAAATCGAGCAAAGGAAGGCCCTAGAGGAGTGAAAGGATCCAAATAGGTGGGCCCAGAAATAAAACAGCCGCAGGAAGCCCTGCACAGGCAACCCAAAGTTTTCCCAACATTTCTTTTCCCTGCTCCTAAGGAGGTGCAGCGTGAAAAAGGAGATTAGCATACAAAATTAGAGGCGGGATGATTTTAAGGGCAACTTGCCTCATGCCCTCCACCCCCACAGCCCTACTCTGTCTGGACAAAGTTAATTAAACCAGTATTAAACAG